GTCTTTGTTCACAGATGACATGACTGTCTACATAGGAAATCCCAAAGAATCTACAAAAAGAAATTTTTTTTTAATTCCTGGAACTAATAAGCAAGTATAGCAAGGTTGCAGGATATAAGATCACCCGCTTTCTTTTTTTTTTTGAGACGGAGTTTTGCTCTTGTTACCCAGGCTGGAGAGCAATGGCGCGATCTCGGCTCACCGCAACCTCCGCCTCCTGGGTTCAGGCAATTCTCCTGCCTCAGCCTCCCGAGTAGCTGGGATTACAGGCACGCGCCACCATGCCCAGCTAATTTTTAGTATTTTTAGTAGAGACGGGGTTTCACCATGTTGACCAGGATGGTCTCGATCTCTTGACCTCGTGATCCACCCGCCTCGGCCTCCCAAAGTGCTGGGATTACAGGCTTGAGCCACCGCGCCCGGCCTCACCCACTTTCTTATACGTCAACTGCTTTCCTATATACCAGCAATAAACAATTAGAATTTTAAATTTTATACACACACATACACACAGAGCACCAAAAAAATTAAATACTTAGGTTCAACTCTAATAAAACATGCATATAATCTATACATGAAAAACTACAAACACTGATGAAAGAAATCAAAAATTATCTAAACAAATGGTGAAATATTCTATGTTCATGGATAGGAAGACTCAAGATTATGATATCAGCTCTTTCCATCTCACTGTATAGATTCAAAGCAAATCCTGTCAAAAACTCAGCAAGCTATTTTGTACCTATTGAGAAACTGATTGTAGAGTTTACATGGAAAGACAAAAGACCTAGAATAGCTAACACAATACTGAAGAATAAAGTTGGAGGATTCATATTACCCAATTCCAAGACTTATTATAAGGCTGCATTAATCAGGACAGTGTGGTATTAGCAAAAACACAGGCAAGTAGATCAGTGGAACAGAATAGAGTCCAGAAATGACTGACACAAAAAGAGTCAACTGATTTTTTGTTTTGTTTGTTTTTTAAGAGACAAGGTCTTGCTCTGTCACCCAGGCTGGAGTATAGTGGCAAAATCATAGCTCACTGCAGCTTTAAACTCCTGCACTCAAGTGATCCTCCTGGGGCAGCCTCTCAAGTAGCTACAACAACAAGTATATGCCACCAATCCCAGCAAATTTCTTTTTTAATTTTTTGTAGAGATGGGTTCTTGCTGTGTTGCCCAGGCTAGAAGAGAGGTTTTTGAATGTTCTCATCACAAAGAAATGATAAATGTTTAAGGCGATGGTTATGCTAATCACCCTGATTTGATCATCACACAATGCATACATGTGTGAAAGCATCACATTGCACCCCATAAAAAGGTACAATCATTATATGTCAATCATAAATTGTTTTAAATGTGTCAAAACTTTCAACAGACACATCAAAAAGGAAGCTCAGCGAATGGCTAACGAATAGCTGCAGAAGTGCAACTAAACAAATGGTAAACTAAAAATTTGTGCATTTGACTATATGTAAATTTTACCTCAGAAAAAAACAGAAACAATACTGAATTCTGCTTAAGGATATGCATGCTTAAGCATTTAGAGGTGAAATGTATTAATATCCGCAACTTACTCTGAAGTGCATGAAAATATAAGACGGATTAACAGATGGACAGAGGGATAAATAAATGGATATGCCATTTTATTTATTTATTTATTTATTAGACAGAGTCTCACTCTGTCACCCAGGCTGGAATGCAGTGGCGCAATCTTGGCTCACTGCAACTTCTACCTCCTGGGATTAACCAATTCTCCTGCCTCAGCCTCCCAAGTAGCTGGGATTACAGGCACCTGCCACCATACCCGGCTAATTTTTTTTTTTTTTTTTTTTTGAGACAGAGTCTCACTCTGTTGCCAGGCACCAGGCACCAGGCTGGAGTGCAGTGGCACAATCTCCGCTCATTGCAACCTCTGCCTCCCTGTTTCAAGCAATTCTCCTGCTTCAGCCTCCCGAGTAGCTGGGACTATAGATGCGTGCCACCACAACCAGCTAATTTTTGTATTTTAGTAGAGACAGGGTTTCACCATCTTGGCCAGGATGGTGTTGATCTCTTGACCTCGTGATCCACCCAGCTGGGCCTCCCAAAGTGCTAGGATTATAGGTGTGAGCACTTTAAAAGACACTGGGAGTTGTGGCTCACGCCTATAACCCCAGCATTTTGGGGGTCAAGGTGGGCAGATCACAAGGTCAAGAGATCGAGACCAGTCAGGCCAACATGGTGAAACCCCATCTCTACTAAAAATACAAAAATTAGCTGGGCATGCTGGCGCGTGCCTGTAGTCCCAGCTACTCGGAAGGCTGAAGCAAGAGAATCACTTGAACCCGGGAGGTGGAGGTTGCAGTGAGTAGAGATTGTGCCACTGCACTCCAGCCTGGCAACAGAGCCAGACTCAGTCTCAAAAATAATAATAAAATGAAATGTTAACTATACACTTTAGGTATTAAATTTAGGTGTTGAGTATAAATTTCACAATTCTTAGCCAGCCGCAGCAGCTTACGCCTGTAATGCCAGCACCTTGGGAGGCTGAGGTGGGGAGATCACCTGAGGTCAGTAGTTCAAGACCAGCCTGATCAACCTGGAGAAACCCTGTCTCTACTAAAAATACAAAATTAGCTGGGCATGGTGGCACTTGCCTGTAATCCTAGCTACTCGGGAGGCTGAGGCAGAAGAATCACTTGAACCCGGGAGGTGGAGGTTGCAGTGAGCCAAGATCCTGCCATTGCACTCCAGACTGGGCAACAAGAACAAAACTCCATCTCAAAAAAAAATTACGATTCTTCGGACATTTCTGTATATTAAATTTATTCATAATAAACGGTTGGGGGCCAGGCACAGTGGCGCATGCCTGTAATCCCAGCACTTTGGAAGGCCAAGGCAGGTGGATTACCTGAGATCAGGAGTTTGAGATCAGCCTAGCCAACATGGTGAAACCCTGTCTCTATGTAAAATACAAAAATTAGCTGGGCATGGTGGCGCATGCCTGTGATCCCACCTACTTAGGAGGCTGAGGCAGGAGAATCGCTTGAATCCAGGAGGTGGAGGTTACAGTGAGCAGAGATTGTACCACTGCACTCCAGCCTGGGCGGTAAGAGTGAAACGCCATCTGAAAAAAAAAAAAAAAAAAAAAAAAAAAAGTTTGGGGAAGAGGAGGGAATACAGGAAAATAAAGGCACTTGCTTCCCTGATAATGGAGTTATTTTCTTCCAAGTCACCCTCATCTCTCTCAAACAAGCTTGGGCCCCTGTGGCCTGGAAGCTGCCCCAAAGACTGGTACAAAACCTCCTGAGAATTATGGTGTGGCTGCTATGTCTCCTATACTCTATCCTTTCATGAAGCCAAGTGAATTTAATGCAGGGTTCAAGTATATTATGTACCATTCATTTGATCATCAGTCCAAACCTAAGACCATTCTTCATGGCTGTGTATTGTTTCAACAACTACAGGCTAACACTTAGTCTTTCCCTGTACTATTTCACAGTTTTAGCTGTTTTCATCATAATTATTACCAGTGTCATTATTTCCTGCCTCTATGCATCATTTCCCAAAGAATCTTGGCTCTTTGAGAATAAGGACAGTGAATTTAACAACTCTACTTGGCTAGCTCCCAGAATCTCACACAGTCCTGTGCCCAGAAACCAATAAATTAAATTTCTGGTATAGAAAAGATCATCCCATTTCCTACAGCTGTTAATGATGTAACACAGGACTGAAATATTTATGGATTAAATGGTATGATGCCTTGGATTTCTTTAAACATAATCCAGTGGGAACGGAGATGAAATAATTGCCAAAGTAGGATGCTGGATACACGAGAGTTCATTAACTCTTTTTCCACTTTTGCATATCTTTGAAATTTTCTTTCTTTCTTTCTTTTTTTTTTTTTTTTTTGAGATGGATTCTCACTCTGTAGCCCAGGCTGGAGTCCAGTGGCGTGATCTCAGCTCACTACAACCTCTGCCTCCTGGGTTCAAGCAATTCCCTACTTCAGCCTCCCAAGTAGCTAGGATTACAGGCACCCGCCACCATGCCTGACTAATTTTTGTTTTTTTGTTTTTTTTTTGTTTTTTGTTTTTTGTTTTTTTGAGATGGAGTCTCACTCTGTTGCCCAGCCTGGAGTGCAGTGGCACAATCTCGGCTCACTGCAACTGCTGCCTTCCAGGTTCAAGCTATTCTCCTGCCTCAGCCTCCTGAGTAGCTGGGATTACAGGTGTGTGCCACTATGCCCAGCTAATTTTTGTATTTTTAGTAAAGATGGGGTTTCGCCATGATGGTCAGGCTGGTCTCTAACTCCTGACCTCATGATCCACCCGCCTCAGCCTCCCAAAGTGCTGGGATTACAGGCACGAGCCACCACGCCCAGCCTCATATCTTTAAAATTATCTATAATAAAATGTAAAAAGAAGTCTAATGTACAAGATCAGACTATTAGATACTATTAAAGTTTAAAATTATTTGTGCAAATGTTGATGTAGGGAACCTTAATAGTACATTTTAGGATCTTAATAACCCCAGGTTTTTATAAAAAGTTACCATTGGCCGGGCGCGGTGGCTCAAGCCTGTAATCCCAGCACTTTGGGAAGCCGAGGCGGGTAGATCACGAGGTCAAGAGATCGAGACCATCCTGGTCAACATGGTGAAACCCCGTCTCTACTGAAAATACAAAAAAAAAAAAAAATTAGCTGGGCATGGTGGCACATGCCTGTAATCCCAGCTACTCGGGAGGCTGAGGCAGGAGAATTGCCTGAACTCAGGAGGCGGAGGTTGCAGTGAGCTGAGATGGCGCCATTGCACTCCAGCCTGGGTAACAAGAGCAAAACTCCATCTCGGGGAAAAAAAAAAAACAACATTATAATATGCCTAGAAAAATGGCTAACCGAAGGCATAAACTGCTTAAATGTTAATCACGTCCTCCCTTTCCAAGAAAGAGAGATGAGCCCATTCTCTGAGACATGAGCCAGCATTTCAGAAAACAGAAAGGTAGGCCCAACTCACCAGATATCTGGGCTTCTCCTCCCAGGGCCAGGCAGAAACCTTGGAAGGCAGAGCTGCGGACAGAAAAAAGCAGCCTGGAGAAGCCAGGCCGACCAGGCCCATCATGAGGATCCCCAAGAGCCCTTCAGAGCCTTGGCTGTGACCACCTCAGCCTTCTCAGCCAACCCAGGCCCCGCGCTCCTCTAAATCTTCTTCCTTAAGCTTGAGTCGACTTCTCCTGCTCTGCACCTCTTCTCTATTTTGCTTTTACAGAAACACTGATCTTAACCAAATGTAAGAAGGTAAATTCTAAACACTCATCTTTCTACCCTAAAAATTAGCAAAACTGTTGAGACAAGGCATCATTTCCCCTACATGTGTTATGACTCCAATTACACATTTTTTTTTTTTTTTTTTGAGACGGAGTTTCACTTTTGTTGCCTAGGCTAGAGTGCAATGGCACGATCTCGGCTCACTACGACCTCCACCTCTTGGGTTCAAGCAATTCTCCTGCCTCAGCCTCCTGAGTAGCTGGGATTATAGGCATGTGCCACCACACTGCGCTAATTTTTGTATATTTAGTAGAGATGGGGTTTCTCCATGTTGGTTAGGCTGGTCTCAAACTCCGGACCTCAGGTGATCTGCCCGCCTTAGCCTCCCAAAGTGCTGGGATTACAGGCGTGAGCTACCAAGCCCACCACTTTTCTTTTTTGAGACGGAGTTTCGCTCTTATTACCCAGGCTGGAGTGCAATGGCGCGATCTCGGCTCACCGCAACCTCCGCCTCCTGGGTTCAGGCAATTCTCCTGCCTCAGCCTCCTGAGTAGCTGAGATTACAGGCACGTGCCACCATGCCCAGCTAATTTTTTTGTATTTTTAGTAGAGACGGGGTTTCACCATGTTGACCAGGATGGTCTCAATCTCTCGACCTCGTGATCCACCCGCCTCAGCCTCCCAAAGTGCTGGGATTACAGGCGTGAGCTACCGAGCCCACCACTTTTTTTTTCTTAATTTATGAAAATGGGCGGAGTGCAGTGGCTCATGCCTATAATCCCAAAATTTTGGGAGGCTGAGGCGGACAGGTCACTTGAGGTCAGGAGTTTGAGACCAGCCTGACCAACATGGTGAAGCAACCCCGACTCCACTAAAAATACAAAAATTAACTGGGGTCATGGTAGTGCACACCTGTAATCACAGCTACTCAGGAGGCTTGTACTGGGATTGCAGGTGTGAGCCACTGTGCCCGGCAGATCTCAGTCTTTAAGACTTAATCATCAAGTTGTCCCACTGCCAGGCACCAGACCACATTGCCAGTCCACTGGCTACTGCCCACGAGTCAGCGAAAATGTTAACAAGATGAATTTTAGGAGATATTTTCCAGAGCAAAACCATAGCCCATAACTCTGCTCTCTCTCTCTCTCTCTCTCTCCTTTTCCATTGCAGTTTAAAACAGATTTTCCTTGAGGCTAAACAGCTGCAGTGGCCCAGTGCACCCCATCAGCCTTTAACAGAGCTGATGTGTCCATGAATCAGGCCCAGGCATTTTCGGAAACAACTGTGTACCAAAGCCCCCAAGAAGCTCTGGCACAGACCCCACATCTGAGACAGCCATATCTAGAAGGTGACTACCACTTTCTCCTGTACATGCTAAACTTTCTTTCTTTTCTGGGAAAAATCCATTTTGTGGGTGTTTTCATTTATTGCCGTCTCAGGGATGTCAGGGCATAATAACACCTGCTGTTGCTTTGTTAGTTTCTCAATTGTCCACTAACAGCCAAGAACAAGCCAATAATTTCCTCTCAAAACGAATATACCTAATAGCGGCATCAGGCAAATGTTTTATCCATGTCCACAGGGGGACCACTGCTTAACGGCTACATCTTTTCATCACAGGCTCCAGTCTGCACAATTACAAGTCACCCGCACTCCGAATGTTAAAGCTGTTTGGTACTAATTGGCTGGGTGGGAGGACAGTCCGCACCAGGTGTCGGGTTTCCTTAAGCACTTCCGCCTCCCCCAGCTCTTTTGTGGACAGAGTACTCCCGCCCCACCCCCCGCCCCGCCCTACCAGCCTTGTATTCCATGCTGCTTTACTGCCACCATGTGGTCTGGTGGGCTCCCAGTTGTGCACTGGTCCCACTGCCACTGTCCTAACCGCGGCCTTTCCCCACTGGGGGCATCCCTTAAGGCCAGGACAAATATCGCTCATACTAAAAGCATCTATTTCCACAATGCATTCGGCAGGATCAGCTACTTGGGTCTGTGAAATGTCCATCAAGTAAAACATAACAGAGTAGCCGGGCACGGTGGCTCAGGCCTGTAATCCCAGCACTTTGGGAGGCCAAGGCGAGTGGATCATGAGGTCAAGAGTTTGAGACCAGCCTGACCAACATGGTGAAACCCCGTCTTTACTAAGAATACAAAAATTAGCTGGGCGTGGTGGCGTGCGCCTGTAAATCCCAGCTACTCAGGAGGCTGAGGCAGGAGAATTGCTTGAACCCAGGAGGTGAAGGTTTCAGTGAGCCGAGATCACGCCAATGCACTCCAGTCTGAGCAACAGAATGAGACTCCGTTTCAAAAAAAAAAAAAACCAGATTAGTTTCAAGGGCCACTCAGCTGAATGGACTGAAACAACACTTTAAAACCTGAAGAAAGGAAAAACCTGGGAAGAAAAGTACAGCCATTAGCCTGGAATGGGTGGGAGTCAAAGATCGCTGCAAATAGAAGTGGGGCTTCAATACCATGCAGTGTGGCCTGTTTTTCACTAGAAGATAAATGGGCCAGCTTTTGACAAGAATTGCAAGTTTGGCATGCAGCGGTAGTGTTAGTACTGGGAACATAGAGTTCTTATTTTGTAAGAGGCAACAATTCTTCTTTGACTGCGGGAGAGATTCAGCTTTGTGAATCCACCCACGTTGTTTCAAGAAATTTTAATTGGCAAGCAAGCCTCTGTGTTTTGTTGGGGTTTACCAGTCACCCATGCTGACTGCTGTTAACGCAGAAAATAGACAATTTTTGCTTGCCAATCAACAAAACATCTTTTATACAGTGAAAATATTGGACATCAAAGCAATTTTCTCTAACATTTTATGAGCATTTAAGGTTCAAAGATGTAGTACACTGTTTATACCAATTATACATTTTTACACACAGTGAATCCACTCAAACCACATAGTTTGATTTTTTTCTCTGGACTGCAACTTCTGACCAAACTCTTTTAAGTGCTTTTTTTTTTTTGCAAAAACATAAACAGTTTACATAGGCACTCCAGCTACCAAGAGATCACCTCATCTCCTCAGCTGGGAGTTCAAGGAATGCAGTGTGCATTCTGTTGCATACAGTATGCATACAGTTGCATACTGCAACAGTATGGAGAAGGCCAGCCTCCAGGGAGGTTTTCATTACCTAATTAACTCAGCTAATTTAGCTGAGTTCTGGAGTGAAAACAGTAGAGAGATCACATGCATTTGCATGCACCAGTAGGCAGAGTTTTGCACTTACTATTGGTTTTAAGTGTCTTTGATGGTAAGTGGTTACATATTTTTTTAATTAATTAATTTTGGGGGGTTTTTTTTGAGACGGTCTTGCTCTGTCTCCCAGGCTGGAGTGCAATGACACAATCCCGGCTCACTGCAACCTCCGGCTCACTGCAACCTCCGGCTCACTGCAACCTCCGGCTCACTGCAACCTCCGCCTCCCAGGTTCAAGCAATTCTCCTGCCTCAGCCTCCCAAATAGCTTGGATTACAGGCATGTGCCACCACCACACCCAGCTGATTTTTATATTTTCAGTAGGGATGGGGTTTCACCATCTCGGCCAGCCTGGTCTTGAACTCTTGAGCTCAGGTGATCCGCCTGCTTCAGCCTCCCAAAGCGCTGGGATTATAGGTGTGAGCCACCAAACTTTTTAATGTGTCTTAATTTTTTTTTATTTTTTTAGAGATGGTGGTCTCGCTATGTTACCCAAGCTGTTCTCAAACTCCTAAGCTCAAGTGATCCTCCTGCCTCAGCCTCCAAGTAGCTGGGACTACAAACACATATCACCATGCTTAGCATGTGTCTTAATTTTATAATCAGAAAATAAAACAGTATTTAAAAAATAGGTCTGGGTTGGGTAAGGATCATTTTAATAAGATGCTGGGTCAATTGGATATTCATATGGAAAAAAAAAAACCTTGATCCCTACCTCATATCATCAACAGAGGTGATCACACCAATATAATATGAAGAGAGACAAGACAGGCAAAAATAATATGTGTTATATTATTATACTTATTTAAAGTTCAAAGTCAGGCAAAACTAGTCTACATGTTAAAATCAGGATACTGGGGGCCAGGTGTAGTGGCTCATGCCTGTAATCCCAGCAATTTGGGAGGCCAAGGCAGGCAGGTCACTTGAGGTCAGAAGTTAGAAACCAGCCTGGACAACATGGCAAAACCCCGCTCTACTAAAAATACAAAAATCAGTTGGGCATGGTGGCATGCACCTGTAGTCCCAGCTACTCTGGAGGCTGAGGCAGGAGAATCACTTGAACCCAAGAGGCAGAGGTTGCAGTGAGCTGAGCTGAGCCACTGCATTACCAGGTGACAGAGTGAGAACCTGCCCCCTCAAAAAACAATCAGGATAGTGGTAATTTCTGGGAGAACAGAATGAGCAGTGATTGGAAGTGGCATGAGTTAGACCTCTGGGGTACTTGGAATTTACGATTTTTGATCTCGGTTTTGATTCCACACAGGTGTGTTCAGTTTGTGAAAATGTATCCGCCTGTGCCCTTATGAGACATGCACTTTTCTATTAGAACTGTACATCAATAAAAAGGGGTGGGGAGGCAGAAAATTATAAGCACCCTCAAAAAATCAAATGTGATGTTTTATGTTAAAGCATCATATATGCTCAAAAAATAAAGCTATAATCTCATATATATGTAGAGAAAAAGAAATATATGTGTGTGTTTTGAAGTATTTTTATGGACAGACTATATTTTATCAACTAGATCTTTCTTTACTTATCCAATAAATAATTACTGAGAAAAGCATAGTGCCAAAAAGCTACCTTCAAAAAGTCTATAGTGAATTAATCTTTTTTTTTTTTTTTTTTTTTTTTGAGATGGAGTCTTGCTCTGTCA